AAAAGCTGAGTAAGAGTAACGTTTTAAGTATTATTTTTAAATAAAGATAAATAATTTATAATAATAAGTACTATGAAAAACATATTTTATGTTTTCTTTGTGTAAAAGTTTTTACGTAGATAGAAAATTAACTACTTATTTGTTTGTAATTTTATAATTTTATTTAATTTTATAGATCATTTCAATCTTACTCAAGCAAGATTGAACAATTAAATGATGTATACTAAACAAATAATAACAATAAATAAATTTTATAATTGTAACTCTTTTTCTTATTTTACAAACATATAAAAACATGAGTAAATAAATAAATCCTTATTTATTTATTATTGCATTGACTAACTTAATATTAATGAAGACATTCGAATGTACCTCAGCTTTTGCAGTATTTATACATATTATGATTCATTTGAGCCGTGGTAGCTCAGATGGTTAGCGCTCGCTTGTTGCACAGTACGCGAGCAAACCGGGTTCGATCCCCGCTGGCACCAATGAAATTGTTAATTGCAATTTTAAGTGCTAATTTACCACGTGCTCGGCGGTGAAGGAAAACATCGTGAGGAAACCTGCATGTCTGAGAAATAAGAAAAAAAATTTCGAAGGCTTGTGAAGTCCGCCAACACGCATTGGGGCAGCGCGGTGGACACTTCCTTGCCCTAATACCTTCTCAGAAATGAGAGGAGGCCTGTGCCCAGCAGTGGGACGTATATAGGCTGTAACTTTACTTTACTTTACTTTACTTATGATTCTTTTATGCTTCAAATCTACAATTTACTCTACCTTCAGAACACTGAAGCGGGTGAACTGCTGTATGGCAGTAGAAATACGTAATAGCGTGGCATCTATCGTTCATCTTCTTATTTTTTTATTTATAGAGGTAAGGACTTTTCTTTTAAAGTAACGGCAACAAATAAGCACACAGTCCACATGATCGCAAGTGGATACTGTGGCCCACAGACACATTCTATCAATCCTCGATTAAGAATCGAAATGTCTATAATCTTTAACCCTTAAGGGCTTAGAGGAATACCTATTTATCTAACAAAAATTGAAACTTTTTTACACCGTGTTAACGATTTTACATTTTTTTTCCGTGAATGGTACCGTCAAATAATTACTAAATGTGAAGCAAACCCGTCTCGGCGTGTTTACGACGTTATTACATTATTAAATTAGTATTAAATAATATTAAATTAATTAATGCAAACCAAAAGCAACTACCTTACTTTAACAAAATTTTACTTTACAGCTCTACTTTTGCAACAAATGACATATTTTTACTCTCTAAAATAAAAGGGATACGCCTGAAGCAACGCTAGCAGCGTTCGAGCAGATCATTAAAAGGTGTCTGAGGCGGAATGAAGAAAGTGGTTCGAAAATTGGTTCAGAGGCATGCATCTTTGTATGTTAGTGGGAGACCCTTTTTTTTTCTTTTAAAAAATTTCTTTTTTTCTTTCTTTTTTTTTTTTTTTTTTTTTTTTATACTTAGATAAACAAAACTTTAAACATAGAGAAAAAGCATATAAAGATAATACACTACTCTTATAATTTTAAAAAATCATAAAGGATGATTGGCGCCTAATTGAATGGATTAGAATAAGGAAACGGCGCAATTTGGAGTAATTTTTATAATACAATAAATTATGTTAGTTTATCTTGTGAAGTCAAAAACTATCACCAAATAGTGCTTGTGAAGTCATAGCAGGTAGAAAATATGACAAGTTTTGTTTTTGTACAAATCATGGCACTAGCGTGATCTTTTTAGGAGAATGCCAGATTTACCATAGAGCTTTGCCTTACCCAAAAGCGTGGTGTATACGAATGCCATATGCAACAATTCTTTCGTCGCTTTATTACTTTATCCAAATTATATAATTTGGAGTCTCTAGAACTTGCGATTTTTTTTGAACTGGACTTTAATAATTACATTTACCTTATATTTTGGATCGGTATTCCTTGCAGTTCATTGTAATAGTAGAATATAAATTGTCAGGCGCTAATGATATAGGTATATAAATAAGAACTTAAGAAGCTGAAATAAACTATGTGTATAGTTCGAGCTTGGTTAAAATAATTTTATAATGATCAGTTATAAAGAATTTAAAAAAATTATCAGTTGCATTGGAAAAAGGGTTTCCCTTGTATAGGAAGAAGGTTTCCCTTGTGTAGAAGAACCTTACACAATATAAGACAAGCACGACTTATTCTTGACCTAGTTACCATTACGTAAATAATAGCTTTTGGTCGCGTTCCCATGTTTGTTGTTCTTCTAGATCAATATTTTACTAGGCGGTAGGATTCCTTTCCTGTCTGGGAGTCCGTACGTCAATCACTAGTGCGTGCACTCCTATGTTACGGTCTGAAGGGTATAGAGAGCCAGAATAATTTATTTCAGGTTGTAATGCTAATGCATTTCGTCTTATTCATTTTAAGCGTCAAAGTGTCTTAGCGTAGCCTGTTTTGTGTGTGTTACTTACCGTGAGGCGGGATGGGATTCCGTTTGTCACTTCAGATTTTGGTAGTTCATTGCTTAATATAATATTATTTTTGAGGTAGTTCTCTACCGCGTTACAGCTATGCTACATATGTATACATAGCTGCAGCACCAATAGGTCGGTTAAACGGGGTCGACCACGCTCTTACAGAATACCAGAGTAAAATAGCAGGTTAATGCTGATGTCTGGTATGGTGAGTGTTGATAACCAGAGACCTTTTTAACCGGTAACAAGGCATTCCATCTAAGTCCTCAGGGGTGACAACGCACCTGAATCTTGATACTTAATCGTACAAATGTTGATAATACATGTTGATGTCTAAAGGTCACTGCATCCACATACCATCAGGTGAACTGTGTGCTCATTATCACCCATATTCTATAAAAAATCGTAGCCTTCCTAATGCTGGGACTGGGAATACTGTGATCGTCACGCTTCACGGATTGACGATCGTAGCTACGATTTCATACCAAAAACTTTTAGCAGGTGGATCGTACCTTGATTAGGGCTGGTAGATTCGGAGATAAATAGGAACACAAATTCTATTTAATTAAATAGCTGGGTAGGGCTGGTTTGGGGCATGATTTCCCTATTAATTCACTATTTCTCTAGAGCCTCCCCTAGAAGTTTCATCTTTGCGTTGCCATTGGCTTCTACAATCATATTGCAAATCCAATTTGAAGCGCAAAATGCCCGCCATTTACTCTCGCGGAATCCCACACCCATCCCGCCCATACCTCTCGAATTTGAATTGAAATTCGATTATTTTATTTTTTATTACGAGCTATGTGTTTGAAACAAATTTATTATATTATTACATAAATTTATCATACAATGGACATAAAATGCGTATTTTACAATGCTTTGTTTGAGTATGGCGTTATAAAAACTAATTTCACTTACAATTACTCCCTACCTTCCCAAGATAAGTGTAAAATAAGCGTTGTTGTAAAAGAAGTAGAAATATTTTTATTCAATACGGATTATAAATAATACTTATTGAAAGTCACTGTTATGTTAATTTACCACTGTTTCACAAAATACCTCTATCCTGGGAAGGACCAGCAAGAAAAAGGGTGACATTTTTGAAAAAAAAAATAGCTTACAATCATATACGTTATACAAATAACAACATTAAACGAATGTGCACAACATAAATTTATAATAATAATAATGTCTTCCAGATGGAATTTCGGCCACGGCGTCCTACCTTAACAGAGGCTAGCCATTGGCGCAGGACAAGATTGTAGTGCCCAAGCACAGGTGCACTCTCTATTGACTCACTTTCATAATCCGATGGGACGGTAAACCGATACGAACCAACGGAGGAGATCAGGCGCAACGTCGCGACGGGTACACGCTGAGAATTTCTTGACGGAAAAACTCAATAATAGACTCGGGATTCCAACCCAGGACCTCATTATTAGCAGTCGCACTACTACAACCACTAGATCAACGAGGCAGTTATATAAATTTATATAAAACTTATCATTTATGTGTCTAGGAATGTAGTTATAATTATTTTAATGTTAAACCACGTTTATTTATACTACATATCTATCTTCATAAGCTGTTTGTTATCTTAGGTATCAATACTTATCCTTAATATTATATAAACATAAGTTTTACAGTCTGCATATAGCACCAAAACCAATTTTTCATTGAATTTCCGTGTTATTCTCCTTCGCCAATAACTAGTAAATTATTTAGAAATGATGCTGGTGCGTCCATATTTCTTTGATGTCGTGCCGAACCAAGATACCACATTATAGTCACTACATGACAACAACAACCAACAGTCGTATTACCTACAACACAACTGCAGCAATATCCTAAAATTGAATTAATTGCAAAATTAATTAATTGCGTTCTGTCAGTCTTTCAATACCTGTGGTCTGTGGGTGACTTATAAGCGCCGGACCTACAGCGCCCTGCGCCTTCAATATAACAACGCCTTTAGGATGCTGTTGAAGCTGCCGTGGCGCTGTAGTGCCTCTAAAATGCGAACATTTTGACTTTTTCGCCATAATGCGTAGAAAAGCAGCGTCTCTCCTGCAGCGCGTACGTACCAGCAACAACGGCATCCTAAGGGTAATTGCTGCCCGGCCCGACTGCCCCATACTGCACCACTGTATGACGGTAGCTATTGGGCGAAAAAAATAATTTGTACATAATTCACATTAACTAACAATACTAACTTAGAAGTTAAGGAAAATTGTTACTAACATACTAACAATCTATGGATGTTCCTTACGTCTGAAATAAACACTTATTATTATTATTATTATTAGGGTACAATATATACGTAAAATAACACTATCAAACAATATATACGTAAAATAGAATCTCCTTCCGTTATGCCTCGACTTTATTCTGCCTTTTATTAAAGTCGGTCAGTGTCCTTCAAGATGCGCCATCACTTCTTGTAAGTGTTCCAATTCTGGGCACACCTCTATTAAATACAGGCCATTCATTCTCTTGTGTGTTTACCGTAGTATGAACGCGCTTGTTTAACTTG